AAGGGACTAAGTCGAAAATAAATGAATGAAATATTTCCCAAAATGATGTTTAACAGAGCAAGGACATTTTTACAGTATTTCTCTATAATTTTTTCTTCTGGAAAAAAGTCTTATTTGTTTTATTTCTTTATTTTTTATTAGCTTTATTTTTCCAGTTGTCTACAGAAAAAAAAATCATTATACAATAACTTGCCTAATTACCCTAACCTGGCTAGTTAACCTAATTAACCTAGTTAAACCTTTAAGCTGAATACTAGAATGTTGAAAAATAACTAGTAAAATATTATAAAATAAATAAGTTATTAGAAATTAGTTAGTAAAACTATTATGCAGAAATGTGTTAAAAAAAACTTCCCTCCATTAAACAGAAATTTGAGGAAAAAATTATAGAGGGGGACTAATAATTAAGGAGGGCTAATAATTCAGACTGTAAGCCTCTAAATTTGCTTCATTTGAATAAAGATGGACAAACTTCCAGATTTTAAAAGACATGGTGGGACAAAACCTTTTCAAATTCCTGCCACACCACAAAATGAAACCTAGAGTTGTCACACACACAACACAGTACTTCGCTTCTTGTCCAATGTGCAACCGGCTTTAGAATCACAAAAGAATGCATGCAGGGAGGCATTATTGTGATGCATGGACACTGATTTCAACAGAATAGCATCATATGTCACCATTAAGGCAAGAAAAGTAGCTTGGAAACTGCAAATGCGGACTGTAAACAAAAGTGAACTGCATAGTGTTGCAAACAATTGAAACATTGTGAACTATTATATTTTGAAGCTCTGTGACACTTAGATAAAGTTATTATTATATATTACGAAAGCTATATATTATAAAGTTATTACTGAAGCTCTTCCAATATAATTTCCATATATCATTATTTTAGAAGCATTTTTGGTTTGAATGGTTATACGAGATTATAAACAAATTAAAACTAATTTATGCTTTCTTTTTTGGAATAAAATTTTTTTCTTTTTTTTTATAATTTCTCTTTGTAATATGGCATTTCAATAGGGGTGTAACGATACACTCAGCTCACGATACGATGTGTATCACGATATAATGTTCACGATTCGATATGTATCACGATATTTGGAATTGTAAGAGTTGAAATATTGCAGATATTTTGATATTTTTGACAATTCAAAACATGAGCTGAAAACAGAGACTGGTGACTTAACAACCCAGCAGGTGGGAATGCGGGAAAAACCAGTTCCTGCTGCATTTGCATCTGAGTCTGCTGAAACTCGGCTTCATCCACCCCATCTCACATATGGTCATTTCAATGTTTGAATGTTCTAGATTAACCAAACTGACTTTAACTATCATGTTTGATATCATTTGAAATGTCTCAGTGCGATTGGTACAATGGTCTCATTCTCTCAGAAATAGACATAATAACTTCAGGCATCTTTTGAACCACTGTGAAGGGTGTGACTTTTCCCTAAGTGTGAATGCCTTTTGTTATTCACACCCCCTTCTTTGAGGGAATTCTTGGATTATTTAAGATAAGGTCTGAGAAAGATTCAGCGCGATTCTGCCTAACCAGATCAGCCCATAACATGGGGCCTGCCCCAAGTTATGTATATTTTTGAAGTCAGGAATGCATCTTTTTCATCTTGGATTTATCTTTGATAATTCGATGTTTTGTATTGATCGTTTATGAATTGACTGATTGAATTGGCATAATACATTTACCTGACTAATAAATTATGTTTTGAATTATTCAAACCTCGTGTTATTATCACTGATAGATGTTGTTGTCCATAGCACTACAAGCCACTGTACAGGTTAGTAACGGACTAAAACATGTTAGACGGAGGAGCGGGGCACGCTATACAATGTTGTTAGAGATCCGACTAATAAATTGGCATTTATTCAAGTATACTTGGACTGTAAAAGGCCAACTATTTAGAACAACAAAATATTGTTGAAACTACTTTAAATGTGGATATTTAGGCCTTCATCTACAAACTTTTAATCCTGTGCGATTATTAATTAAATACTTTGTCTTGATTAAGTAGATAACAGATCTATGGGGACCACATAAAAATCTCCTAAATTGAGTAAGTAGGGTTCTGCCTTTTTTATCGCCTCTGTTTAATGACCAAGACTGACAAGCTTGTAGTAAGAGATTGTATACCCGGCCGGTGCAAGACTCGGGATGCTATAGGAATCTAAGGAAATGAGAATAAGGTATAATAACAAACCAAAAGAATATTCAATCATAATCTAAAATAATGTGAAAGGAAACTAAATAATCTTATCAATGTTTTATAATTGGAGTCAGATAAAACGAGGATAAATATATTAATATTCTAAACCACCTCATACTAAAATATGAGTCAGATATGAGCTAAGTTTAATATAAATCAACATTGTGCACTGGAAAGACCGAACATGCAGTGAACCTTCATCCACCATTGGATACCGTCATTGGGCCAATTGGGTGGACCCTACAGAACAATAATTGAAAATTTAACTGAAATGCTAATTTTACCAAGCAAACTATTTTTTATGTATTTCTTTTGTTTCAACTTGTTAAACTGAACCTTCTTTAAGAAAATAAATTATCAGGCCTGTCTCTGGAAAATAAAACAATTTAAAAACTTCTTAAAAATATTATTGAAATGACAGAGACAAAATTAAGGAACAATTTAAGTAAAGGTGCAAAAAAAAAAAAAAAAAAGCTTTCTATTCAATTGAATTTAACAGTGAGAGCTTAAGGCTTTGCTTGGTCACTTGCGTTTTTTGTGTGTGCAAAAAAACCCACATTTCCAGGTAATCAGCAGTTCTATAAGATAATCCTGAACTGATGTGTGTCTGTCTGAGAGGTTTTTATGGATGGCTGTCTTCATGTTGGGCATGATGAGTGACAGGGTGGCCGTCTTTTCATTACACAGGACAGTCGTGGCTCTTTTCAGCAGTTTAGGCAGGTTTACTATTTCTTCGGCGTCGCTGATGTCATCGCTATCAAGTGTATCATGTTGACGTGCATTTTTGTGTACCTCTGTACTCAAAAGGGTTAATGCTCGTCGTAATCATAACTCTAAAATGCGATATGATTATTTAAATAATGTGTACGTTTTCGGTTTCATTTCCACTGCTGTTTATACTTCCCACGCGGCTCCTGAACGATCACTCTGTTCCACAAACTGAATGTTGTTTACTACTTTATTACCTGTTAGTCACAACCTGCAGGTTCTGTTCACTGAAGCAGACGCGCGCGTATGGCAAGCCGTTTTAGCATTTAAACCTTTGTTCTGACTATCCATAAATATATTTAATTCATATTTAATTAAATTCATTTAGAGATATCTCTAATTACAATTGTGACTAGTCAAAACTCATTTAGAGATATCTGCAAATATTTTTCAATGGAAGTCAATGGAGGAATATGACTAGTCATAATACATTTGCAGATATCTCCAATCTGATTTCGTACTAGTACAATTGTAATTGTAGATATCTCTAATTGTCATTCTGACTAGTCGAATTATAATTATGACAAGTCAAAATATAATTAGAGATATCTCTAAATATATTTATGGATTGTCAGAACAAAGGTTTAAATGCTAATAGGCTTGCCATACGAGCGCGTCTTTCATAGTCCACCCTCTGTAGTAACAGCTCACGGTCAGCTCACGTCATGTGTGATTTTGCGGCCGCCAATACATCATTATATGAAGACAGAATGATATTTTAGGGTGATTTGTACCTTATAAATACAGTATGTGACTCTTTCAACACCATTAGAAGGTTTCCATGTTGCTGTGCAAAGTATGTAAATCACTGTGAAGACTTTAAAACTTCGGCTATGTTTAACCCATTATGCGAGTCAAAAAGCGGACGAGTCTAAAGCAATAACTGTACAACCGAAATGTTGCCAGACATTTGATTTTGAGAGGATGGGCCATCCTCTATTTCAGCTCCACTCATCTTGGTCTGCTAACATTACTGCTGCTGCAATCTGAACTCACGTGCGACAGCAGGTGGAACGTAGCTCACGTGCAAACAGCTCAACTAATAAGAGAAAACGGACGTCATATCATAATCAAATCGTCATAACGCCACGATGCATATTGTGACATTTTTGCATCGCAATAAATCGTACAACGATAAATCATTACACCCCTACATTTCAATGTTACATTCACAGCTTGTTTGTCCTGAATATAAGTTATTATAACTCATACAGTATAACTCTATCATAATATATATTATAATCATAAAGAAAACCATATAAAACCTTAAGTTGGAAAAACATATTTACACAGCCAAAGAAATATGTCAAAAATGTCAAGAATTGTTTTGGAATGGAATCGTGACTGGGGATTGTATTTAGATTCGATTGTGATGTCCTTAAAAATTTTCACCCCTAGCACAGACATTAAATGGTAAAATAATCAATGATTACACAAAGAATCACTCTAAAATGTATTTGATCATTTCATTCAAATGAAGTAATGCCTCAATCCATGATAGTCATTCCTGAAGAGTTATGCATTGCACAGCTAGAGACAGATGCAACTGCAGGCCTAGATTTTTTAAGTAGTGTACACATGGATCAGAGATCAAGTTGTGTTGATCTTGAGTAGGAAGAGAGAGTGTGGGATTGAATTTTGCATGTGAACTCTGCAGGGTTTCAGGGTTAAATAATTCATTTGCCACTGGTCATCTCTGGAAGTAAAAGGTGTGTGTGCCGGTTGTTTAACCTGCATAACCAAATATCAAAAGCTGAAATTATGGGCATTGAGGGGTTGTTTGGGCAGGCCCATAAGAAAAACAGCTCATAAATCATAATATGTTAGATTTTATTATTATTTTTAAAAGATGGCAAGGTTTTCTGTGGGGGTTGTGTTTAGGGTTGGAGGATAGAATATGTGATCAGCTCAGCAAAAAATCCATTATGCCTTTAGAAAGATACAGTATAAAAATATGTGTGCGTGTGTTTCTGTAAAATATGTGTGTGTGAGAGCTCCTCAACCAACCTGCACTGTTGAAGCCACATCCAAGGAAAAAGCCTCTCACCTCCGGAGCTTCACCCATAAGAGGTTTGTGATCTGCAGTGAAGGATTCTGGAGGGGAATAATAACAAAATAAATATGTACATGTATAATCTCCTTTCCATCCAGTGTTTATCATTTTCATTACAGTTTCTGCCAACAAGATTTTTTTTCCTCAGAGCAGAAACGAGGCAGTAACTACTGTAAATCAAAACCTGAGGTAAATCGTAAACTACTGCAGATCTAAGTAAATCTCTTTGCATGATTCATTTAAATACTTGCCTCTGAGTTTGAAAGGTAAACAACTACAAATTCATAAAGGTCAGCCACAAACATAACTCCCCACATCTCTTTTAATGCTAGACAGCGCATGTCTTTAGCAAATCCTGACAGGAAGTGTTTGAATGCCAAAAGTGGGTTTGCGCTGCCAAATGCTGTTAGCAAATCTGGCCCTTTACCAGTTTTTTTATCCACTTTATCCTACTCCATTTCTAACCAGAGGTACAGTGTAGGGGAATGTTTTTTGAAAAGATTAATGTGGTATAATAGCATACTTTAACATTCTCAGTGCTAAACTGTTTAGTCCTTACTAATCATTCATAAAAACTAAGCTTATGATTTTTTATTAGATTTTTTCTTTATAAACAAACTACCAGTCCAAAGTGTTAATAGTGATGTTTTAATGTTTTTTTTTAAAGATATATTGTGTGCTCACCAAACCTGCATTTATTTTATCCAAAGTACAGCAAAAATAGTCAATTAATAGATAAAATAGGAGATTTCTATTTAAATACACTTTCAAATGTGGTTGATTCCTGTGATTTCAAACCTGAATCAACACTACAGTGACATACTTCTTTAAAAATTATTGTACTATGCCACATTGCTGCTCAATTTGTTATTGTCATTTTGAAAACAGCTGATATTTTGGGGATTTTTTTGGAAGTTTGGATGCACAGCATTTGTCTGAAATAGAAAACTTTTGAATGGTATAGTGTAGTGTTACAAAAGCATTTTATTTCAGATAAATGATTATCTTTGCATCTTCTAATCATCAAAGTGACCTGGAAAAAAATCACCAATGTTAATACGTCATAATAATAATAATAATAATAATAATGATGATGATGATGATAACAAAAAATAATAAAATAATAATAATATTAATAATAAAAATAGACCAAATCAGCATAATATAAAGATTTCTGAAGGACCTGTTGAGTGATGATGTGAAAATATCTGCTTTGAAATACAAATACACAGGAATAAATTACATTTTAGAAATATTCAAAGAAAAAACTAATAGCAGTTGTTTTAAATTGTAGTATTTTTTACTTTTGTCTGGTTTGTTTATGTTTGTCCTTGATTTGAGACAGGAATGCACAATAGTAAATTATACAATTTACATGATCTCTTAATGGAGTTTGTTTTACTTTATAAACTTTATAATACTTTATAATATTACTTTTTTTGTCTTCCATCCATTTGTTTTTGATTGGTATATTTCTGGATAAGAAAAGCATATTTTAGCATTAACAATGACCGGTGATGGGAATAATGGTGCAATAAATGACAGTACTATTAACGGCGATCATTTTTTCTGTAAAGAGTAATCAAGTTAATTACTATAGACGATTGGCTGGCGACACGGTGGCGCAGTAGGTAGTGCTGTCACCTCACAGCAAGCAGGTCGCTGGTTCGAGACTGGGTCAGTTGGCATTTCTGTGTGGAGTTTGCATGCTCTCCCCGTGTTCGCGTGTGTTTCCTCCATTTCCCCCCACAAGTCCAAAGACATGTGGTATTGGTAAATTTGGTCAGCTAAATTTGAATGAGCGTAAATATATGTTTCCCAGTGATGGGTTGCGGCTGGAAGGGCATCCGCTGCGTAAAAATGTGCTGGATAAGTTGACGGTTCATTTCGCTGTAGTGATCCCAGATTAATAAAGGCACTAAACCGAAAAGAAAATGAATGATGATTGGCTTAGATAGAATACATTTCCATCGTTTGCCAATTAGAGGCAGAATAGTGCAGGTGTTCATACACAAGCACATACACAGTCAGTTTCACAATATTTTTCTACAATATTTTATTTTTTAAATGTCTGGGTAAAATTCAAAACATTTTTCCCTTTTGAACACAATATATTTTATTTAAAATATTTTGGAACGGTTAACACATTAGGCTAAATGAATTATTCACTTAGGCTGTCTTCATTTGTTTCAAAAACAAATTATTTTGTTTACAAAAAAAAATTTATGCTATTTGGATATCTTTTCTGCTGTAGATACTGTTGTCTTAAAAATAAATATTAATTTTAAAAAAATCAAAAAAATAAATAAATAAATAAAAATTAATAAAAATAAAAAATGTAAATAAAAAAATCGTACACATACACACATACCTTAGGAACAGTATTGCAGAAGATTTTGACAGTTTTAAAACCTTGACTTCCAAACCGCGGTATACCTTAAAAACGGTTACCGTCCCATACCTAGTTTCCAGCCTGGTCTTAGCTGGTCAGGCTGGGAGATGACCAGCTCAAACCAGCTTGATCAGCCTAGACAGGCTGGGAGCCAAGTCAAAACCAGCTATGTCCAGCTTAAACCAGGCTGGTGCAGTAACCTTTTGCAGCATCCTGGGTCAATCACTTCCAGTGAACTGTATGCTGTTACTTAATCGCCTTATTTTAGAAAATAAAATCAACGATCTCCACTGCCTGATTGTTAGACAACATAAAGTGGGTCTCAGATTGTACAAATAGCACTGCGTTAAATTACATTTTCCCACGCCATGTCTTTAAAATATGAACATTTATTTTACTCCAGTATTTTTAACAGCATTTCTGTGCTTGCCTGCTGATCCTGATGGGCACGTGCATGCAAACCTATGTAATCTCGGTTTATGCTACAATAACTAAATGAATGCTGAAGTCTATTTAACTGATTGCATTTTAATTGCATTACAACATCGATGTTGTAAAAGAAACTGTATAAAATTGAAAAAAAAAGTCATATTGACCGTTCACTGGAAGTTTATCGGTATGGGAAGAAACACTAGCTGTGCATATACCTTTTTGACAAAAGGGCTTCTTAATTGTTAGCAAATAATGCACAGCCAAGGTTGTGATGTGATGGTTCACTTGCTCAATATCTTAGTGGTTCTTGGTTCTTGGTTCTTTTGCTTTTAAAGGCCAATTGAAGTAACAGAACTCATTCGGTAAAATTATATAATTCCCTGAAAATAACTGCACAAGTTTATTGCACTGTGGCGAGAGACACTAAGCTGAATGAAAATTAATGAATTAATATTTGCACAATTTAGAACATTCATAAATCAGTATTTAAGAGAAAAGAAAGATTTAATAATATAATTTGTAACCTAAACTGGCGTGTGCTGAATTTACAGCACATTATGTTCTTAATGTAAGGAAACTCAAATAACATTATACAGTGCATTTAAAGAAAATCATAATAGCTGCGATGGTTTGTAACCCAGCTCTTTATAAAGCACAAACGCCTAGAAAATAAGTGTTAGAGGTGAGAAACTGTTCTAACACAAGGGTCAGATCAGATCTTTCTGAAAGGCTGTTTAAAAATGCAACGCTGCTGAGCGCTCACTTAATGGTCCATTCGTAACAGTCATAGCTTTCAGTATTAGATATTGCAGGATGACCCACAAACGCATCGGAAACAGAGAAATGCAAAGGCGAATTGTGTGTGAGGAGAAACAGAAGCCACGAGTGCAAGAGAGATTGAGAGGTGAGACAGAAAAGAGAGACGGAGAGAAAAAAAGACACACCTTTTCCATTACTCCACATGAGAAAGTGTTTTCCTGAGCATCATTTGCTCTTTGTAAGAGCGAAAGGAAAGGGTAAGGTTGCAGCTATGTTTTATTTATCTATCTTACTCTGCTCCATTTGACTCATACGTCACCACACACAGACAGCGATCGCCTCCGAGAAATGACCGAATGGCTTTGACTGGATCATCAGAGCCGCTCTGAATCACCTTGTAGAGTCAAACGCATCTTCAGTATAACTCAACCAAACACAGATGGCAAACCAAGGCTTTAGAGCAGGAGAAAAACATGATCCAGTTTGATCAAACCCTGCTAACTTAAACTATAACACAGTCAAGTTCTTGAAAATATGTTTTTAAATAATAAAGTTTGCGCAAAGTGCTTTGAAATGTAAATTTTTATTCAATCTCAACCGAAATATGAAGAGAGGGTGGGACATAGTGTAGCCCCTCCCCTTTAAAAAAAACAGCCAGTAGTGTTTTGTTTTCTCACAGCTCTGCCAATGAGAATAGTTGAGTTCAAGTGCACCTAATGTGAAGTCTTAAAGGAGACAGAACATGTCAGATACTAGTGAGCATTTGATTGGTCACAATTTATTGACAAACAAAAGTATGAGATGACGTGAATAAAAACATTGATCCATATAGGCGTAAATGACAAACTACACATTACACTAGCTTTACATGTTTATATCAATTGTATATCCTCTGAACACACATTTTGTCACTGTTTTACAGCACACTAGATTATAGATCCTAAAAAAAAAACAATATTGATACCAACATCTAAAAAAAACTTTATTTTAATTTCATAGGACCTTAAAAAATAGGAATTCACGAAGTGATAATGCTAATGAAAATGTTTTGTTTTTGACTATTTCTAATTTTAGATGAACTGTTTCCTCCTTGAGAATGATAAAGAACATATTGTGCCTCTTAAAGCAGATCCCATCGCCCTTTGCTCTGTCCAACTTCTAGTCTACTGTCCTATTGGGATGAAGGTAAAATAACTTGTAAAAACATCTGCTTAAGTTTTATTGACGCACTCCTTAAGACTTGAAAACACCTACTAGTGATTTTGTTCATTTATATAGTATCTTTTCACAGGGTTTATACAGGAATCAGAGCATGAAGTTCCTTTTTTTAAGACTCTTCCCATACATTTTAGGACATCATTGTTACCTAAGGTTTTAACTAGTAATATTGCTGACATTTTAACTTGAATTAATCCTAAAATAAAGCATTATTCATTTACTAAATGAAAATTCTAATCC